CTAGTGGACATCTTTGTCTGGATGTCCATGTCTGTAGTCCAGGATTAAAGGGCCTAAAACTGACCTTACTGTCTTCTTTGCAAACTTGCTTTCTCTGCTGGGGCTTCTGTTTTTCACCTCCATTATAGTTCATGGCAGGATGATCTCTTCAGGAACCTGTGAACTATTTTGCTCAATGGCCTCCAGAGCCAGTTTACTTTCTATGTCCTGGGCTTTTACCTCTTCCATATCTGTGGAATATGAACCCTCTTTCTCTTCTTGCTGCTAAAGCCTTTGTCGGACTCTCATTTTCCATTCTTGTACTCCTTCAAGAAGCTTTCAGTTTGTTGCCCAGCGTCCCACCATTGCTATTTCCAGCTCAACCTCAGCAATGCAATCTCAGCAATAGAGTCACTGTCCCTGGTTCAAAGATTATTGCTCTGGGTTGTCCTTATAGCCTAGTGGCTAAAAGGGTGACACTCACATAGCTGACCATATTTCAAATCCCAGTACCAGTCGATTGGGAAAAAAATTACCACTCTTGATCTATTTTCAGTTTGCTGTAGTGATTTCTTTTACCATCACTATGTTGATAAATTACAAATTGATTTCTCTTTTTTTTGTGGGGGGGGGCGGAGAGGTTTTTTCTTATTGGGCGTGTGCGCTCACCAGAAAGACAGAGAGAGACATAGAGATAGAAAGCGAGAAATCACCCCCCAGGTGGGATGGCCACGCCACAATCCCTTCTCGTCCATTCTCATCCTGGGATCTTGGGCACGCACGTACATGCACCTGGCGTGAGTTTAAGCCATCAGGTCCGGGACTTGAACTGTGGTCAGCTACATGGGAGTCCAGTGACATAGCCATTACGCTAACTGCTGGTCCCAAATTGATTTCTCTTTAGAATTTTCACACTAATGGTTCCAACTTAGTAAACAATACTACCATTCACTCAATGCTTCCAACTTTCTAGTACATAATCAGTGATAAGTTCTGGCAATTGATAGCTCTCATTTCTGCTCATTTGTCTCCATCCTAACTGTCATTACTCTGGTCCAGTCTTAAACTTTGACCACAGACTGGGCCATGAGGCAACCATGACAGTATCTTCATCTAACTAGTTGTTCTATGCCCATAGCTTCCCACTTCCAATTCATTTTTTCCACAGATATTCTATTTTGTCAATGCTAAAGTGTGCTTTTTCTTTGTATTTAACCTTCTTGTAAGTCAAGATATTATCTTACAATGTATCTTATATCATAATTTAATTAAAATTTGTTGCTAATTGTTTATAAAAGAACAGTACATTTTATAATCAATGCTGTCTCCATGATGAAATACAATATTAGAAAAATCATCTTCCTGGATATACTACTACTGTGAGTAGCACCTTTGAAGATTTCTTGTCATCCTTAGGAGACAGTTCATCTTTACTGTGTCTACAAGGCCTTGTATACTCTGTCCTTTGCTTACCTCTGTAGAGTCATTTTGTGTTACTCTTCCTTCAGTTATCTATCCTTCAACCACATTCAACCTACAAACACTTGTTGAGTGACTGCTATGTGTTAGGCACTAGGAGAACGTGTCAGTGAACCAATGAAGCAGACATAGCTACTGCCATATGGGGCTGATTGTGTAGAAGAATCCCTCGTGACTTATCTTGAATTTGCCATGCTATTTTTAAACTCTGGACCCTTAGATATTGCTAGTTTCTTTCTCAGGAAGGGCTCTCCTCTTTGTCCCTCTACCCTGCTGACGCCTACTGCCCACTCATCTTTCAGCATTTATTTTGTGTGACACTACCCCTGGACATTCTGTTTAATACCCTCATGGCTCTTGCCCTTTTCCTGATACTTACTGCACTTGCTTTTCAGAATTTGTCTTCATCTGTGCACTGAAGGTCCATGAGGGCTGGAACTGTACCATCCAACTCACGGTGTTCTTCCCAGCCCTTATTCTAATACCAGAACCACACAAGGGCCTCTAAATATTTACTGAATGAAGAAGTAATGGGATTGGAAACATGAATTCCAAATTGAGCCACTCCGAAGTACTCTAATTTTTAAAATTTTTTGAATGCATTATTAAAACGAAACAAAACAACAACCGAAAGTGAACTGTCAACATATGAGGTTGCATGAGAAATTTTAGGTAGAGAAGTGAGAAGAAAATTTATCAGTTTCAAGCTGAGATGTACAGAAATTGATATTAAATATAATAAATATTTTTTTAAAAATTAGTGTCATAATACTCCCGCATCATGAATTTCATTACAAATCAGTGTCCTCACCACATTTGTGTAGTAGTTTTTGTGTCTTGAAAAATTAGAACACATTCTTCCTCTGCTTTTTTTCATTTTCTTTCAGGTTTTTGCCATAGTGTACGTACGCTCACCAGAGGGAGACAGAGACAGAGAAAGGGAAAATGAGAAATCACTCCCTAGGGGGTATGGCTACACCACAATGCCTTCTCCTCTTCTCATTTTGGGCAAGCACACATGTGCCTAGTGTGATTTTTCAAGCCGCAGGATCCAGGACTCTAACTGTGGTCGGCCATGTAGGAGTCAAGCACCTTAACCACTATGGTACCTGCTGGCCCCTCCCCTGCTGGCTTTAAAGGTTTGCTTCTCCTTAGTCTGCCCTTTGTATCGTGGATGGGCTGCCTTTGTGCTGTATGGCTTAGCTCAGTGGGTTATGCTTATGAAACAGTTTCAGATTTAGTTCTAAGTGGTAAGTTATCCTAGCACTCCACACATAGCCTGCTGTTTTGCAAACATGAGTCCAGTTATGTTCCCAGAAAGCAATTCAAAAGGAAGCTCAATTGTGTCACCTTTTAAAATAAAACGTGTTTATATCAGAGTTCAAAGCAATCTTTAACTGCTGTTTTTTCCTTGCCCTAGATATAAATTTTTCTTTAATTATATATACTCTAGTTCATTATACAATTGCATGTTTCTTGTAATTGCCTCTATATTTATATTAGCATAAACTTCCTCTGTGTTACAAGAGAAAAATTTGAGAAATAGTTAGGGAAAAAACCTTACCTTTAAATTATTCCACAATAAGTAGAGACAGAACTAAAACTTTAGGTTTTTTAGTCATTGAATTTTAGCTCTTTTATTTTTAGTAACATCTCCCCAAATCCTTGGATGAAAGGGCTATAAAACTTGAAGTATTATTACCACAATCTATAGCAACAAACTACCTCAATATAGGTATAATCAAAAGGAAAATTCTTAGAACCACATTCATATTCAAAGATCTTGTGATATAAGCCAACCCCTGTGGGGGTATTATTTTCAAACATAACAGGTTGACATTATATAATTACACACTGCTGGATATTGAAATATCTAAAAAGGAAAAAGTGCTTATAGTAGTACTCACGGCACCCTATTATGAGTATTCACATTTATCCACACATCTTTAGAGAATTATTTCTAGTTACATATTACAGACTTTAGCAAAGATTTAGTGATTTATTTTATATCAATATTAGGTTTTGACATTAATGTCTTAGCAAGCATAGAGAAGTGTGATCCTGAGACTCACTTTCATTCAATAAAGGCGCTCTGAGGTGAGCCTCTTCATTGTTCCATGTTCAGTTTGTTACATAGACATATCGTATATGTATATGTGTACAGATGCTCAAAATTCCATTCACGTATTCTTATCATTTGTACTTCCAATCTGCTTAAGTTTTCCCTTTATTGTTTTTTCCACATTTCATAATGACATTGCGCTTTTCTAAGATAAATCCCTCTCTTTCAGCTCCACTTTACCATTCACTTCTGCTTCATGCATCTTCTGTAGATATAATGGGGGGATTTGTCTGATTTTTCTGATTTCTTAGATTCCCTTTTCATTTACTTTCAATGCTACTTTCTTCCCATTTACTCTCCGGGTTATAGCCAAACTTATTTGTCAAAAACTTTATTTTTAACAAACCAAAGCATTCAAAGGTTAGGTTTCTAACATTTCTATTCTTTTTCCTTTATGGGAACTTTTTGGTCTATCTGATACAACATGGAATGTAGTCTCATAGGCATATAGGCCCCAAATGCCATCATTCTTGGAACCTTATCTGATCTTTTTCCCTAGTTGGTTGATTTGACCATCTGAAGTCTCATCTTCCTACTCTGTTATGTAGATATAATCTATTAGGTGCCCTTGGATTGCTTTCCTATCTATACTTCTTCTCTAAAATATGTTGCATATAATTATGGACTATATAATTTCATATTTAATATTCTTTTTATTTTTTTATTGCAAGAGTGCATGTATGCACCAGAGAGAGAGAAAGGACCCCCAAGTGGGGCATGGTCCCCTGTAATCCCTTTTTCCTTCATTTCTTCATCCTGTCAGGATTATGGGCATGCATGCACACATACCTGGTGTGTTTTTAAGGTCATTGGGATAGGATTTGAATCTTGGTTGCCCATGTGGAACCCAGCTTTCTATGCATAACACTTAACCGCTGGGCTGTGGACCCCACCCCATAGTTGATATTTTTAGCAATTGTTATTTTCTGAAGTGACTACCTGTGGAGAAGAGAGAAGAGACAGAGAGCTAGACTGAGAGACCGATAGGCAAATATAGTCATTCTTTTGGAAAATATTTAAAAAGTATGCAAAACATTCACTGTTAAGAGTAAATGCTAGTGGGACCAGCAGTTGGTGTAATGGCTATGTTGCTGGACTCCCACATAGTTGACTGTGGTTTGAATCCTGGACCCAGTGGCTTGAACTCATGCCGGGTGCATGTGCGTGTGTGCCCAAGATCTCGAGAGGAGAATGGAGGAGAAGGGATTGCGTGGTGTGGCCATCCTCCTGGAGGGGTGGTGGTGGTGGTGGTGATTTCTCACTTTCTGTCTCTCTGTCTCTCTGTCTTTCTGGTGAGTGCACGTGCCTTATAGCAAAAACCTCTCCAAAAAAAAAAAAAAAAGAAAGAAAAAGAAAAAGAGTAAATGCTAGTAAAACAATCTGGTAGCACAAACAGAAGTATAAAAAAATAAAGAAATGGATCCTTCTGTGGGTCATAAATGCAAGGATTGGGTTTCACTGTTGCATGAAATATGCCTCCCTTGAACCTTGTTAGAATATTGGCACAGTACTGGTCTGACCTGAAAAAAAATGTAGAACTTTTTCTTCACCCATCAACAAAAATCAACCAACCAAGCAACCAACCAAGCATAGAATGTCTGTCCCAAATAAGGAAGCTTAGATTTTAATTTTTTAAAATTGCCAGAGAGCATGTGTGCTTACCAAACAGAGACAGAGAGAGAGAGAGAGAGAGAGAAGGAGAGAGAGAGAGAGACTGAGAAAGCACCCTTTCCTCCTTTATGGGGCATGGCTATGCTGCAATCCCTTCTCCTCCATTTCTCCATCCTGTTGGGATTTTGGGCACATACACATAGGCATCTGGTGTGTTTTTTCACATCACTGGGGTGATTTAAGTGGGAGAATGATCAGTAAAGGTGAACTAACACTATGAAAGTTATGAGAGGGTCAAAGAAACTCAGGCTTTACTAGGCTAGCATTGGTCACTAACTGTCATCTTTCCTTAGCTCTCTCCTGCTCTTTCTTTCATTGGCATAATTTATTACCCCAGATGCTAGAATGTAAGATGGGTCTTTGATGATCACTTTTTCAACTTTTACCCGTAACCTTCATGGGGGTAGCATCATAACCACAATAGTTTTTAGATAAGGAAAACATTTTAAAGGTTTTTGCCATAGGGCATCTGCATTCACTGGAGAGAAACAGAGAGAAAGTGAGAAATTGCCCCCGTGGGGTTAGGGGGTGGCCACTCTGGAATCCCTTCTCCTCCATACTCTTGTCAAGATTTTGGGTATGCACACACAAGTGCCTGGTATAATTTTGCCAGGTCTGGGACTTGAACTATGGTTGGGTCGGCCACATGGGAGTTCAGCCCTTCAACTACCACACCACCAGCTGGTCCCTCAATAAAACTATGGATAGGAATGATAACTTGCAATAGAAATTCAGTTATCTTTGTTTGTTTGTTTGCTTGTTTTTAATATGGTATGTTTGGAGAATGCTTACTAGGGACACCCTTACTGGCCCTTAAAAACTTCTGTAGATGTGAGATATGTATCTCTATCTCTATCTATTAGATATAGATTTTTTAAAAGTTTGCCATAGGGCATGTGCATTCACAAGAAAGAGACAGAGACAGAGAGGAAAAGTGAGAATTCATCCCCAGGGGCCATGGCCACACTACAAACTCTTCTTCTGCACCTTCCTCTCAGGATTTTGGCCGCATACACACATACACCTTGATTTTCAAGTTGCTGGGTCTGGGACTCGTGCTGCAGAGTTGGCTATATGGGATCCAGTGCTTTAACCTTCATGATACCTGCTGGCCCTATAGATGTTATATTAAATATTCCACTGATATAAAATTGGAAAATCTTGTTATCAGCAGAAAACTGGCAAATGAGATAGGCATCAAAAACAAAATGCAAATACTCTGGGGATACAGTGTGATTGTTCTGCTTTATCTTCCATAAAATCTGCTGTTCACACCCTTATGGCCTCTTTGCGTGTTGGTGTTCATGAATAAAAATATTACTTTAAAAACAAAACAAAAATTTCTTTGCTCTAATTAGGCAAAATGAAAGCCTTCTGTTACAATTTATATTATTAAAATTTTGACATTTTCTAATGGCATAAAACAAGTTCTATTTTTAACAAAATCTTAGATTAGAAAAGTGCTTTGAGATTTCCAAGTTCTAGCAATGCTTCAGTTTTTGTATTTATTATTTGATATCAAAATTATGGTGTAATAAAATAATTTTGGTAGTTCCTAGTTCCATTTTAAATAGTAATTGACCTCTAGAATGGTATGGACCCAGAATAATGTGACTAGTGATTAACGTTGTTAAAGATAATAATTATTAAAAGTTATATACATAATAGAAACGGACATTTCTGGGGACAGAATCTTGAATGTAAAAGTAGTCAAATAGGATTTACCCACATCAAACTGCTTAAAAGGATTCTTTAATGTGAGGCTTCATGAACAACACAGAATTGTTGAGAACTGCTAAACTGTATTTAAGAACAACAGACTGTAAGAGATAGAATGAGTTCTGATCTCAATTTTCTCATTAAAGAACTGATAATAACTTAGGCAGTATAGGCAAGGGCATTGTCTGTTGAAAATTTATATTTTTTTCTTCCATAGTTTACTGATTTTATGAAAAAATCTATACTAGCATATCTTTTTCTTACATAAACCTTTATTAAAAATTTTTAGGGCTGTTCGTGTGCCTGGTGGTTGAGGGAGCCAGATCCCACGATTGACTACGTGATTCAAATCCTGGCCCTGAGAGCTTGGAAAATACAGGGGCTTGTGTGTGTGTGTGCCCGAAACCCAACGGGATGGTGTGACCATGTCCTGCTGCGGGGGGAGGGGGGTGCTTTCTCCCTCTCTCTCTTCATTCTTCTGTCTCTGTGAGCACATGGGTGGTAGTACACTGCTGCATGACACCAGAGCCACACGGGAGCCCCAGGTTTGGATTCTGGATCACCCTTAACATACCAGGTGAGACCTGGGTGACTGGGTGTATGTGCTTAAAATTCTGAAAGGAGAAAGAGATGCAGGAGAAGGGATTGTGGTGTAGCCATCCCCCATGGGGAATGCTTTCTCATTTTCCTCTCTCTCTGTCAAGTGCATGCACCTGCTGGCAAAATTTAAAAAATATTTTTTGTCATATATTTTTTAATTTTTTAAGAAATATTATTATTATTATTTGGCTAGGAGGTACACAGGTTCACGAGAGAGAGAGAGAGAGAGAGAGGAAGAGGAGAAAGCACCCCTCATGGGGGATAGTCATGACATAATTCCTTGTCCTTCATCTCTCCTTCCTTTCAGGATTTTGGGCACGCGTGCACATGTACCTGGAGTGTTTCTCAAGTTGCTGGGTCCCAGAGTTGAGCTCTTGGTTGACCATGTGGGATCCATCTGCTTTAACCACCAAGCCACAGAGCCAGCACTATTATTATTATTTTAAAGTTAGTTTCTTTCTTTCCCTGTCTTTCCTTTTTCTCTCTCTTTTCCTTCTTTCCTTCTTTCATTCTTCTTTCTTCCATGAGTAACACACATACAGAGAGAGCGAGAGAGAAAGAGAGAGAAAGTAATAGTCACCCTCATGTTACCATCTACACTCGGCTTTAGCCAGCCCAGATCATGGGCATGTGTGTGTTCAGGGAGGTGGTCCAGATGCAAACCTAGAACCTTCCTATGTGGGTCAGCCTCACAGAGTGTTGTGTTGCTGTTGTGCTGCTATCTCTTCCCCTAAATTTTATTAATTAATTAATTAATTAATTAATTTTTATTTGTAAAGAATTATTTACTTGGGATCAGCAGGTGGTATAGTGGTTAAGGTGCTGGACTCTCACATGATTGACTGTGGTTTGAGTCCTGGACCTACAGGCTTGAAATTTATGCTGGGTGTGTGTGTGTGTGCATGCCTAAAATTATGCACCCTATAGCAAAAATCTCTCTTAAAAAAAAGAATTATCTACTTATTATTATTATTATTTTAAAATTTGCTATAGGGCATTGGCACTCACACAAGAGAGACACAGAGAGAAAGAGAGGAAAAGTAAGAAAGGAAGCCACCAGGTCTGGGACTCAAACCATAGTCAGTCATGTGGGAGTCCAGCACCTCAACCATCACATCACCTGCTGGCCCCAAATTTTGTTTATTTTTAATTTACAAATAACTGTATATGTTTACGGGATACAATATGCTGATTACTAATGATTAAATCAAGTGGGTTAATGTATTTGTCACCTCACATACTTATTATGTTTTTATAGTAAGAACATTTCAAATCTAACCTTTAGGTAACTTCAAAATATACAATGCATCATTACTAACTACAGTCACTTGCTATGCAATAGACCACTAAAGCTTATTCTTCTATAACTGAAAATTTGTACGCTGTGATCGACGTCTCTCCTTTCCCCACCCACCCTCTCCTCGAACCTCTGGTAAGCACCATTTTACTGTCAACTTCTATGAATTGACTTTATTAGATTCCATATAAATGAGATGGTGGTCATATCTAGCAGGAAAGAGTCAGCTTTTCTACTTCAAGCCTAAGTCAACTCACTCCCTTGAGTCTGATAAGTGTAGCTTAGGACACGTCCTGCCCTAGACGGAAAGCAACTGGGGGAGACACATGACATTCTGTTTGCTCTGTGGAGAAGCAGGCAGAGAGGGGGGGAGGTGTCAGGATATCCTTTTCTGAGTTATGGAGAGAAGACAAAGATAACTAAGAAAAAAAAACCTTACTTCAGCTGGGAAGGAGGAAAGGAAAATGGATGTTGGCTAGGCACACGTGTCCCGCCACGTCGTTTGCCATTTCTTCATGCTTGTTAAATGCACATGGAAAGCAACGTCTTGCTTGACCCAGAGAAAAAAAATGCCCCATATCGCTGGGGAAAAGGAAGCATGATTCTGATGGAGTCTAACTCTTTGAACTATGTATGGATTGGTAATTAGGGAGAGATGAAGTAAACACTGAGCTGTAGAGACCGCTGTTTTATCTTCCCTTTCCTTCACTTCCTGAATTATACTTACGAATTTCTACATTGGTTTCTGTGGTCCACATTTGCCATAGAGTAGAAAGAAATTGCAGGCATTTATTTTGCTGTAAAAGTATTTTTGGATGTTTTGTGGGCTGTGTATCAATTACCATATAACACAGAGTTAGGAAGGAATGTGCAAAATATATTTAGCAGCCTTTGATAATATTTTAAGAGCATTTGATTCTGACACATGCTATATAATTTATAGAGATGCAGGTTACATCATTAAAAGGTTATATATTGGGAAATCTACAAAAAAGAAAATCTTAACAAAAATACCTTCTTGAAACACAGACTGAGGAATATTCCCTTATAGGAAAAATATGCAATGATTGCTCAGGTTTTTCTTTGTTCTTTTTTTTTTTTTCTCTTTATTTTCTTTTTGTACTTTCTGCACAAATATAATTTTGTGGCTACTCATCATGATAAATAGATGACGGAGCCAGAAGAAGTGAATGTCAACTGGATGATTGACCCTAATTTTTTATTCAGGACTATT